GGTTGTGAAAAAAATGACCGATTTCGTGCATTGTGACGGTAAAATCGATGCCGCTGGAAAACGGCTTGACGGAATGAAATCAGTGTGGTACCATTTTACAGACAAATGTATGTGTAATCAGAGAATAGCAAACAAAAATTGATGATCCGTACCATTTCTTTAATAATGAAAAATTAATTGGAAAATTTGATTCGTGCGGAGCGCGATGTCATTTACAACATCAAAACGTATTGAAAACGCTGATCAATCGCTATGAAACCTACATATTCGGAAAGAGCATTCTTTTCTGACCAATATCCACCCGAAATATTATCGAAAAGTCAATAAACTTTTGTGAAAATGACTCAAACAGGCGACCGTGTTTTGTTAACGTTACAGGTATTTTTCGACAAAATCCGATCGATGGCTTATGGCCGGCAAGTCATTCAACTTTTGACAATAGCTATCAAAGCATGGGCTGCAATGCACCACTCGCCAAGGGGAATTCCAAACACTGAAAATAAGCGCCTACCGGTAAACAGCACATTATTGTACTAGGAATAACTCAGCTACTACTGGGCCGATTGCGCTGAAACTTGGACTGTGGGTGGAGGGGGCACTCACCTGGCGATGCATGGTCATGTGTGACAGGTAGGGTGGATCGATTGCACGTGCGCACGTGAGGGGTCCACTTATACATCTCAAGAACGGCTGGGCCGATTTCGCTGAAATTTTGTACACCGTTGGGGACAATTTAGAAAGGTGGCTGGCACAAGTCATCTGGAGTCTCAGTTAGCGCGTGCGCACGTGCAGTGGGCCGCTTTTATATCCCGCGCGGGGCTGGGGTCTCCAGCCGAACGCGCGGGGCTGGGGGGGGGGGGTAAATTTTACCCCCCCCCCCCTGTTATCTCCCGAACTAATGGTCCGATTTGGAAAATTCAAACGCCAATCGAAAGATCTCATCACGAACAACTAAAAACATGTACTTAATTTTAAGTTTGAGGTCAAGGTCAAGGCCAGGTCAAGGGTACAAATTGCAAGTTCCTACAGTATCGGCCTTGCACCGTAGTTGCCGAAGAATGGAGTCATGGACTGAGACTGATCGCCCAAAACGTGTTCTTAGGATACCAAGACAATATTAGTTGCATACAATATCATTCAGAGGTCAAGGTCAAGGTCAGGTCAGGTCAGGTCAGGTCACCAAAAACAAAATATAGAAAAGGGCATGTGCGACACATGTTTTATGGGTCATTTTACTCATAGAATTCAATAGGCACACTCAATAAGTGATATGGACCACCTCTGGATGAATTTCAGGTCGAGGTCAGGTCAAGGTCAGGTCAAGTGAGGTCAAATTTTGAAGTTGGTTGTTAAGGCCTAAAAAGGTGTCTATCTGATGCAGTTGTTCACGGCGAATCGAATGGTGCTATTTTTGTTTCCGTACGAGGTCTAGAACTTCCAAAAAAGTTATTTTTCAAAAATTTTGTGTCGTGACGTCATAAAATTTTGAATAACTCCCACATTTTTGAACCGATTCTTCTAAAACTTGGTATGTAGGTGCACATAGACCACTTCTCTGACATATATTCCGGTTTTTTCGATACACTCAAAATTTTGGATTTTATAATTATTTTCCCAAAAAAGTCAGTTTTTTGAAAAAAAAATTGGGCCAAAATCCAAAATTTTCAAAAAACGGAGATAGCCATTTGATAGACGAAGTAGAATTACGTATACCCTTTTTTGTTACGTCTTGATTCCTTTAAAAATGAAGATGTTAGCGGCGTTTGAACTTTTGCCGTTTTTGAGGCGAAATTAATGGCGAACATGACGTCACTAAAACGTCAATTTCTCAAAAATTTTCCGACGGATTTCGCTCAAATTTTCAGGGAACGTGTCAAATTGATGTAAGAAAAGGTACTGAAAGTTTGGCGGCGCTGCGCGCCGCCGTTTTTGAGATATTGCAAAAATTCGCGAGGGGGGTAAAATTTACCCCCCAGCCCCGCGCGGGATATCTCAAGAACGGCTGGGCCGATTGCGCTCAAATTTGGTACGTTACTTTAATCGAGTATGAGAAGGGTAACTATGTGTAGGTTATTAGTAAGGTAGGGTATGGGTAGGGTAGGGTAGGGTAGGGTGGGTTTGAGTTCGATAAAGGCAAACCATGAGAAAGGCTCTAACAACCCGCAACCAGCACCAGCATAACATGCCGTTCAAACAAATATCCAACTCCGACAAAATAAGACAAATAAAAATAATAAGTTCCCACGCCCAAAACTAATGCCCCATCAAATGCATCTATCAAAACGCACAGTTATAGCGCAAAATATGCCATCTAGTCTATATTATGATTTATAAGTCGTCTATCGTCTATCGTCTATATTATGAATTATAAGTTGTCCGTGCGACTGTCATGCCTTATGTGTCTTAATGCGCCGGAACGGCGCCGCGTAGCGACGTGAAATTTGGCATGCCGAATCTCTGGGCGTGGGGGGCCTTTGTATTAAAATTTGGGGGTAATCGGCCCAGGGGTGCGCCTTCAGCACGTGCAAAAGGGTGCTCTCATAGGCTTAACACGTGGCCGGCGAAAACCGCCAACGGGCGAAAATCGGGCCTGCAGCGCTCCTTTCCCGGGCTTATATCTCGGCAACCGTAAGTCGCAGCGACATGCGGTTTTCACTGATGGATACAGAAGAGATGGGTCTATCGTATGCAATAAGTTTTTTCTTAGGTATGTACCACGTGCAAAGAAATAGCCTCTAATCTCGAGAAAACGGGCATTTTTTACACATTTCAGGAAAAACGTTGGCATTTGAAGACGATGCACTCGAATGACACGGGATGCATTTCACGGACTAAAAGAGGATCTGACCTTTTCAGAATACATATATTTTTGACCATTCACTTGCACATCTTTATAATTAAACGCTTACAAATTGCAAGTTTTACGCGTAAAAGGCATGGTCGTCTTTGCACCGTCATAATGCCTTGATAACGAAGACTTATGGCTATAAATTTACCATAGAGTGAAAGAACACTCTTTTCTGATCAATATCCACCCAAAATATTTTCAAAAAGTCATCAAGGGCTCTAAGAAACAGAACAATGATTATACCGTTTTCGACGCGTTTTTACCGGTTGAGCGGCGGCGGCCGGGCTTGAACGCGGCACCGGCGCAGTAATATTACCGTGTGCTTTATATTTGTCTAATAATCTCCCATCAGTCGCTGACGGCGCGGCCGAGTGGATAGGATGCCGGTCTCCTAATCCGAAGGCGGATGGTTCGCGGCCGGTCAGCGACAAAGTTTTTCGCCCGAATTCGTCCCTAGGTAGCATTCGGCCAGCCGGCAACCGCCGAGAGGGCTGCTAATGTTACATTTTAACGAGCTGGCGTACCGTTAGGGATCGACTCAGCAACAAAGCATTCTTACTCTCAGATCAATATACCGAAAGCTGGCCATCTAGGGTATGAGTACTAAGTAGTGTATGGGCAGAGTAGGTATGGGCAGGGTAGGGTATGGTTAGGTGACTGGTAGGATAGGGTAGAAGTTGGGTATGGGCCGGGTAGGGTATGGGCAGGGTAGGATAATGGCAGTGTTAGAGTATGGGCAGGGCAGGGTATGGGCAGGGCAGGGTATGGGCAGGGCAGAGTATGGTTAGGTGATGGGTAGGATAGGATAGAAGTTGGGTATGGGCAGGATAGGGTATGGGCAGATAGGGTATGGGCAGGGTAGGGTATGGGTAAGGACCCAAATAATACAATTAAAACGATTTTCAACCCAGCATAATGCATCCGTAAAACCAATTTAATCAAAACATAAAGTTATAGCGCAAAACATGCCATCTAGTAAATTCATAAAGTGAAGATATGTGATGTAAAAGATATTAGGTGCAGATTTGGTCAAATTAGGTGCATTCGCCGGATGGCCCGTCGTGAAAACGGCTAATATGTGTTCCAAACGTTGTCCGAAGCTCAAATAAAGGAATTATTTTTAACCCTATTAGTGGCAGGGGGGGTTGTTTTTATCCACCCCTCAGGTTTTTCGGGAATATCTCCGAAACCGCTGAAGCTACGATGCTGAAATTTTCTGACTTTTCCTAAAACTAAATTGGGCACATTCCCTGAAAATTTCAAGTTCCTAACTTTACCAGGGGCGGCTCCAGAGCACTGGGGGGTCCTATTCGTGAAGCGAGTCATTTGGGCGAAGATCACGATGCTGCACCAGTTTTACGAACAGTGAATGAAAGGTATCATGTGATAACATATAAAAGTTATTGTGCATCCTCTTTTGACACGTTTTTGCTATAATAGGCGGATCCAGGCGTCCAAAAAGGGGGGTTATTTTTTACCTCCCAACATAGGTGCCCTAACACCGCCTATGCATGACCAATACAATTTTAGTCGTTCTCTCATAAGAAAATTGTAACGTAACAAGACCATTGCCACCCTTTTTAGAAACAGTACCAACAAAAACCTTATTTACTATACTTTTTGTGTACCCCCAATCTCAGTGATCTGTATCCGCCTATTATTTTTGAAAATGCATATTTTTAGGATCCATGTGAATTCCTGGTTCATTCTCTATCGATCGGCAAAAGTTGCGTTAAGATTGGTTCAGAAACCTGGCCGTGATAAACAGTCTAAATGTATCTGCAATTTGCCCGTTTTTACCCCCCTCTACCCCCCTATTAACCTTTTTTTCATTTTTTTTAGAAATGTAGATCTCGTTGAGCGAAATCGAATGCCGTTTGAATTTTGAAAATCGGCCCGTTAGATCTCGAGATATCAAGGGGGGGGGGGTCGTAAACAGCCCCCCCACCTGCCACTAATAGGGGGTAGCCAGGAGCCTGCCACTAATAGGGTTAAATGAAGTTTAGTTTTGTGGCAATGCTAGGCATAATTAACCCGTCCGAAAGGGGGAAAATAAAACATACTCGTGCTCGGATTACTAAATTTCGTTTCACATTGATCTTCACAGACGAAGAATACTTGACAAAATGAACGCGAGTTTTCGCCTGTTCAAAGTGCTCCAATAAAATTGCGCACTTGGTTCCTTTCTGACGCAAAATCGACCGTGTTATTTTTTATGCAGTCTTTCACGAATTGAAATTGCACTGACAAATTGTATGATAGTTATGCATGCATTGCGAAGGAGATAGTTTTTTATTACGGCTAAGAGTTTATCTTAATACAAAGATAAACATGTAAAATTTGCATTTATCCCATAATCATTAGCACCCAGCATGGATACTTTGGTTTCCGATTCAAATGAGGACGAGAGCATTGGAGACCCGGAAAAATGTCTTCCTCACATAAACGGCTGTGATACGAAGTGTGCAGACATCGAGACAGACAATGCCTCAGAGCAAAAGGACAATGAGCTAAAACAAGAAAAAGACGTAACACCAAAAGTGGTTGAAGCTTCATCGTCTGAGGTGGTTTCCCAAGACCTTAATAAGGATGACCCTCAAGAAGCAAAATGCACTGCATCTAGCAAGGGATGTATTTCCTCGGTAAAACCGAAAACCCATGACGCTGGCCCTAAAAAGACATCACGGCTTCCCATTTCGTCTGGAAAGAAATTAGACACATTTCACCAAAAGAAAATTGAATTAGAAAAACGCAAACATAAAAATTCACCGCATAACGACAGCGCCGACACTGGGCGCTCAAAAGTATCAGCGAGCCGGCCCAAATCGTCCCGATTTCCCAAGGTTCCTGTGGCACCTCAAACCACCTACCGACCTCGAGCCTCGACCGTCGGACCTGCCGGTGGCGAGGTACCGGCGCGACCTCTGCCCACAACGCTGCCGCCGATCCGACCCACCGACAGCGCTGCATGCGGTGTTGGACGGGGTCGAAGTCGAATTCCGATCCGAGCCCGCTCGGCCGATTGTCAGGCTGACCAGGCAGCGCGTGGATCGGCACGATTGTCGGCGAGGTCCAGTAGCTGTGGTTCAGATATCATCCGCCAGGTGTCAGGCAGGTCTAGGCAGCGTTCAACGAAGTCGGGCAGCCGTAGTTCAGGTAGCGCCCGCCGGGCATTGTGCAGGATGGCACCACGCTCGGCGCGGTCCAGTAGCTATGATTCGGAAACTAACCGCCAGGCGGCGCGCAGGTCTGCGGTGCATTCAGCGAGGCCCAGCAGCTGCGGTTCGGCCGGGGGAAGGCAGAGGACGCCCATTGTGCCGGCAAACTGGTCACTGATCGATGTCAATGATAATGCACGACTGGTAAGTATTTGCGTCAGTATAAGTTAGAACTGTTTGTTAGTAAATTTATTGGGCATTTTGATTTTTCAAACTTGAACCTTAACAACTTGATAACATGTTCATATGCGTACCGCTGTAGGTAAAGCGGGATAATTAATGTACCTACCCAACTAAATTCTGCAAATTAAAAGGGGAAAAATCCTACAAGCTTATCGTCGCCGGTTGGAAATCTTAAAAACGTTTTTTTCCTCTTCCTGGCTCGTTTAAGTCATTCCACATCTAATCCATTTGCGCAACATCTAGTTTTAAGCCTCCTCATGAAATAATCTATGTAGCGCAACCGCTCACCATACAGATCGCACTGTGTCACATCTGGGATCTGTCCCGTCGTCTTATCCCGGCGCCCTCTCTGAAGTTCCATCCGGCCTGAGCAGCTCTATCCCATCACCTCTGCCCTGCATTGTAATCCTCTCTCGCCTACTCACTACTCTGTGCTGGGCAGCTTTATCCCATCACCGCCGACCTGCCCTGTAATCCCCGTACGCCCACTCACGGCTCTATACCGGGCAGCTCCTCGACTTTGAGGGTCAGCAGACAGCGGTCCTGGAACACGACTTTAGTCCACGGCGCAGAAGGGATCTCATCGTCTTGCAGCATAAAGAAAAAGAGGATAAGGTAATTTAACACCTTCTATTGAGTCACATTCCATAAAATGCTTAGAACAAGTTGTAGATTGAACCTAACTGATATACTGCAATGGCCCCACGTATCTATGAATCTGTTAACATATGCATAATGCAACTATCTGTAAAAATATTTTTATCTTACGTTCCATAAAAAGGTTGTATACAAAGTTCTGCCAAATTCGTGCATGCTGAGTACTATCAAAACCTGAAACGTTTTGAACGTGCAGGTCACTCCGAGTCTGCCTCGTGTGACAAAGCTGAAAATGCATTGGGAAACTACACCGAGTTCAAGCTCGACGAAGAGGGGCGGCATTTCCCCTCCCCGCTCGCCAAGAGATGTCGTCGCCTCCACCTCTCCCTCTCCGAGGCGCTGTCGTGCGGGAGCGTCCGAGAGCCAGAGGCAGGCCGGTCCTGACCAGACATCCAGGACGTCCACACCGACAGGGAGAGGTCGCGCACCGGGACACAGCGGTCCTCGGAGGGCGGCTGGCGGCTCCTCGCAGCGAGTGCCCGCCGCCGGAGTGTCGCCCGCAGGAGTGCCGCCCACAGGAGTGCCGCCTGCCAGGAGTTCCTCTCTGGGAGTGTCGGGCAGCGGCCGCCGTCGGACGCCGGTGGAGTACCGTCCCAACCTGACGCCGTACCCTCGCGAGTACTTCATGCTCGGTCACCTGGGACCCGACCCGGAGCGCATCAAACGCAGGGTAAGTCCTGGGGTCCGATCCGGAGCGCATCAAACGCAAAGTAGGGAAGTCCTGGGACCCGAGTCCGACCCAGAGCACATCAAACGCAGGCTATGTGGTAGGGGTGGAGACGAGGCGCAGGCTTTGCATCGGTACAAATAATGAAATACCGCAGAAAGAAATATATTTACGTGTCAAAAATTGATTTGAATGAAAAGCAATACATTTTCACTCGATAATCACAGAAAAGGTTGCGTTATAGCATCACCATTGCTTACTTTATCGTTGGCATGGCTTCCACTCCATAGACCTTCTTCACCTCACTCACCTAGCTCCCTAGCTTCGAAATTTAACCCGCGCATGACTGGGGGGGGGGGGGCTCTACAGAGCCCCCCTCATGTTTTTCAGCAATATCTCCTAAACCGTTTGACGGATCAACACGAAACTTGCGGTACCCTCAGAGGCATCAATTTGACACCTTGTATAAAAATTTCAATACTCTAGCTACCATAGTTTAGCCGGGTATGACGTCAGAGTGACGTCATGTCGGCCGATTTTCATGCAAAATACTGAAATACGGCAAACGCTCTCAAGAGCTCAGTTTTAAAGCTAGATCCATTTTCTTTGCATGAGTGGTCTACAAATACACTTAGCTATCGAACTGGTATCTCGAATTTTCGAAATTTTGAAAATTTTGAAAAATATTTATTTACAATTACAAAAATATATTTTTTGATTTTTTTTTCAAAAAGTTTTTGACTTTTCGCAAAAACCGGAATATATGTGATAGAACACACACTGATGAACTTCATTTGCAAGTTTTATCCCAATATCTTCAAAAATAGCCAAGTTATTGGCATTATTGTCAAAATTTTACAATTTTATGTTTTTTTTTTCAAATTCATTTTTCAGTACGTTTTTGACGTCGTACAGCAATATAAATGGCACCATCGTGTTCCTGAGCTCAAACTGCATTTGATTGGTACCTTTTTTGTTGAAAAATTTCATTTTCAAAATTTGACCTTTTCTGACCTGAAAGTGACCTGACCTCCGGTAAATTCAGCTGACAATGACCTCAAATGACACCGACGACACTAATTTCGAAATCTACGAGTAAAATGGACCATAAAACATGCGTCACGTGACCGATACATGATATACAATTTTCGTGACCTAGGATGACCTGGCCTTGACCTTAAAAATTCGAAGTAAAAGTTCGGTACCCTCAGGGTATCTAAGGCATCCGTCAAGGAGTGCGTAAACCAAAAATGAGCCTGATCGGACCGGCGGTCCGGCGGTCAGAGCCTAAATTGTGAACTAACAAAAATGTCGATAATTTTTACTTTGACCTGACCTGTGACTTCATCGGTGACCTCGAGGTCAATGAAAATAGGTTTCGCCCCACAGTTTTTCTAGGGATATCAGACGTTCTTTGAATTTTGACGATCGGCCCAGTAGTTTCGGAGATAGGAGGGGGGGGGGGGGCTCTGGAGAGCCCCCCCAGTCACTCGCGTTATGGAAAATACCCCAGTCATGCGCGGGTTAAGTCCTGCCATCCGTGACCGCTAGCTCGACCCCGTAGCTGGTCTGACGCCTTCCGCTGTTGCAGCAAGACAAAATGAGGCGGCAGCGCGAGTACGCGGCGAGGCTGGCCAGATGGAACCGGGAGGCGGCCCAGCGGCGAGAGGTGGTCTCCGTCACCGTGTGTTCCGCTGGTCCTCCCAGTCCAGAACACAGTCCGGAGCGCAAGGTAGGGACGCTGGACTGGGCCGATTTTGCATCTGTCTGTGTATGGAGACTGGAGAATTGTTGTAAACCCCGCTTTGGTCATAAAGTTTGAGCTGCCATAGGTACTTGTACACTTATGTGGTCATCCGGCCTGGTTTAGGAATGTGACCCCAGCGTCAATCGTTGCAGCCCATCGAGGAACCCTCCACTACCCAGCCAGCTTCAGAGGAATGCGAAATGAGCGAGGAGATCAATTCAATGTCCCCATATGTGCCTTCTGGGCCCGAAGAACAAATCGATACCGCTGCAGAAAGAGCGCCTTCACCCCCATATGATGAAAGAAAACCATCAGCTGAAGATGACAGTGAGACGCGTCCTCAGGTTGGTGAGAAATCTGGCCAAACTAGTCACATGAGCGTGGAGTCCGACTCTGGGTCTGTGTCAGAGTCAGAGTCGGAGTCCTCGCTGGAGTGGGGACTCGAGAAGGTTATTCGGGTGATTCAGGAGTCAAACGTGCTGACTAGAGACGGTGGGAAGATGACGGAGGTGGCGATGAAGGATGCTTCTGTTGAAAACGCAGATAAACTCGCCTCACCCAAGGATCCGAGGTTTGACAAGGAGAAGGAAACCTGTGAAAGAGACCGAATCGGAGAACACCCTGAAGGGCAAATGCACGAAGAAAGGGAAGACGCAAGGAAATCGATGGAGCCAAAGTTAGAGTCGAAGCCTTTTGACACAGAGCTACCAGTGGGACAAGATGCATTGCCTCAGAAGATGATCTTAGGTTATCTTGACCTAGAAACGACTATGAACGGAAACGAATCCGACCGAGAAATTGAAAATACGAAGGGCTCCTCAATAGATTATTTACAGACACAGTTGGCCCCATCAAACCCGCTGGTTACTGCCGACCTAAGCTCGGAGTATCTCCGGGTCAGATCCGAGCAAACAGACAAATGCCTGGCCTGGATCGAAGCATGCACGATACTAGCAAAATCATCCTTGGCTGCAATGGAAGACTGGGACAAGAAGGAATTGATGAATAATTTCTCTCGAAGGGTATCAGAATACGTCGGTCCGTCGGCGACCTGCCAGCACATCCATGTAGAGTCACCTCCAGATCCTTGCGCCGCTTCAGAGGCAGATGAGTCCGAATACGACGAGTTTGACTCGGCGCCCAAGTCTGTGTCCGGCTCGGACTCCGATATGGAGATGGAGGACGCACTGGAGGACCTCTCTAGGGAAACTCTCTGCCCTGAGTCGGTCGCTGCTCAAAGGACGCCGACGCTGAGCACAACACCTCCCCCAGCGCAGTCCGCCACTCTAGCCACCGAGGTCAGCGGCTCTCGTGAGGAGGATCCCGACGGCAGCAGACGCAGAGACCGTGGCGGAGACGAGGACAGGGGCGAGGGCGGCTGCGGCTGGGGCGTCGGCGGCTGCGACGGCCGGTCGGCACGCCGCTGCGGCAGCGATGACCTGTTCCTGGAGCTGCCGGAGCAGACGTCCGTCAGGGTAACCTCCGGCCGCTGCAGGGGCGCCTCAGGCGGCTGCTCCTGCGATATGTCCTCCTTCAGACCCACCGCCTCTCACCGGTCCACACAGGCGCCGCGCGGCCCGGCCTCGTTCGTGTATAAGAACCTGCTGGCCATGGAGTTACAAGGAGAGGAGGCGGCTGCTCCGATGGAGGTGGATGGCCTAGAAAGAACGGAGGAAGCGAAGGAGAAAGACCCCGGAGCAGCGGCCGAGGCCAGTATGCCGGGGACGGGAGAAGAGCCGAAGGCGGCGCCCGTGAGGCCGATGCCAGAGGGAGTGGTGGAGTCTGCTCCCATACCTGTGCCCGAGTTCTCGTCGAGAGCCGGCCCGGTCAGGAGGAGGCGGTGGGACAGCCGGCTCTGGCCCTCCGCGCTGTCCGACCAGCCGTCCGTCTACATGAGTCGTCTGTCAAATATCTGGCCCGATGAAGCTCTCCTGGCGGTGGAGAAAGTGCCCGAGGATAGACGAGGGACTCGCAAATATCTGGAGGAGGCCGCGCAGCCTCCCGGAAATTACTGAACGTCCGATCTTAGTGTTGACGTTCTATGTGCATAGTTCAGTAAATAATAAATATATTTGTTCTTTAGTATCAACGTTGATGCGTGTAAGAAGTCAATTAAGTGTTTCTCTTTGATGAAGTCATATGAAGTTTAACTAAATACGATGGGTTATTAGGTACCATTATTGCTTTCCTCATTTTTTCCTATCTTATCATTTTTTCGTGTTACATAATCCAATCAGTCACTGAAGAATCCCGGTCCCGTAGCTCAGTTGGTAGAGCGTTGGACTCCGCGTGGTGAGAGCACGCGTTCCCGGTTATAACAGTCCGGGTTCGAAGCGCGACGGGCGCTCGACATTTATGGGCCTCCTGACAGGTATGGTTGCGGTTGGTGGCAGGCCGTAGCCAGGCGAAGTCAGTGAGGGGACCGGCCGTGCGCGGCTATGTGCGCACGTTAAACTTTGGACTCTAAATTCTGCCATAGAACTGGATTTGCGCGATCGGAGGGTAGAGGGCAGGGTCACCGCAACAAGCCTCGCTTAGCGGTGGCTCTGTCCTTGTGAATCCTTCCTATCAAAAGGTTCGGACTAAATTTATTTAAAAAAAAAGAAAAAAAAGAATATTTCCGATGTTCACTTCTCATAAATTTCATTCATTTGCGACGCAACGGATGAACATGGTCTGGTCTACCGGTTACAGGACAATTTGCCGAACTGCATTTTGCCGAATGCTTATTCGCCGAATGTCAATATGTCGAATGCATTTTGCCGACGTGTCTTTTTGCCGACGTGTCAAAAGGGCGAGGTGCTAAAAGTCGAAATGCAATTTGCCGACATGCCTTTTTGCCGACGTGCAATAAGTCGAAAATGTCAATTTGCCGAAATGTCAATTCGCCGAAATGTTAATTTGCCGAAATGCTAATTAGTCGAAATGTAAATTTGCAGAAATGTCAATTTGCCGAAATGTCAATTTGCCGAAGTCAATTAGTCGAAATGTCAATTCGCCGAAATGCTAATTTGCCGAAATGTTAATTAGTCGAAATGTAAATTTGCCGAAGTGTCAATTAGCCGAAATGTCAGCTTACCGAAAAGTCAATTCGTCGAAATATAAATTTGCCGAAATGCCAATTAGCCGAAATTAACCTAACCTAACCTGACCCGTAAGTATTAACTTTAGGACCGACTCGCTTTTCAAAGGTAAAGAAACCCACTTACATGTCACCAAAGTATAAGAAAAACATAACCAAACCTTACCTAACCTGACCTACTGATTTTTTCCTACCCTTGGAAAAGGAAGAAGATACTCACATGAATAGATTGCAGACAAAGACAAGTCAATTATTTTTAGGTTTATTGTGCATCAGGCTTCAGACCTTCGGCCTGAAGCCAGATACACAACAATTTAACCCTCACCGGACCTATTGGTTTTCTACATACGCGCCGGCCGAGGTGGTAATTGCTGAAAGGCGATTTGCCGAATGTCATTTTGCCGAATGCATTTCGCCGAATGTCATTTTGCCGATGTGCTTTTTGCCGACGTGTCAAAAAGTCGAAATGCCATTTGCCGACATGCCTTTTTGCCGAAATGCTTATTAGTCGTTTCGCCCCTGGTGGAGCTGGTGCGTCGCGGAAAAAAACGAGCGTGTGCGCCGTTACGAGACGCAGAGATTGATACCCAATTTTAAGGTCCTACGTCAACCGGTGACCTCTGAGGTCAGGTCAAGTGCCCCAAGGTACGATTCAGTTCTTGGCGAATAACTTCGCCACAAAGGGCCGCAGAGCCGCGATTTGGCAGCATCGTGTTTGCCTTGCTTAGGCCCGTCAATTGATATCTTTTTTGTTTGGGTCAGGTCAACTTACCCTAGACTGAGACTGAGGTCAACTTATGGTGTTGACCTCAGGTCACGGTTAGGTCACACGGTCAGGTCAGCACCCCCAGGTCATGAAGTTGGTGGAAAGAGGTCATTTCGCATATCATTCGATTCGGCAGGTCTTCCTGAGTCCATTGGTGGCTTTCCCGACTCACTAGTTCAATTTGATCGGGAGTTATTGACGAAAACTAATATGACCTTGGTGACGTCATGAATGACGTCACGCAAGGTCAACATTGCAAAAGTTACGCATCTTACCTTGCAAGGAAGGCGTCAAATCACGATTCTGTGTGCTTGAGATAGTTAGAGGTCGTTTCCGGCGCCAGATTAGCAGTTTTCATTTTTCTTCTTGACTTATAATGGTGAGGTCACGAAAATGACCTGACCTCAAATAACCTTTAGGAAAATCTGAGACATACAAGCTGTGAGACTCGTAATGTATATTAGGTCCTGCATGTTTCATTTCCCTGTGAAAGCTCCTCTGGCCGTGAGGGCGTTGCGAAGTTGCGACATCTGAAGACCGTGCAGAGGTTCACTTATGACGTCATAGGTCGGTGACCTGACCTGACCCGAAAATGCGGTTGGTGTAAAAAGATTCGGCTTGAATCAAAGGTCAGCTATGCCAAGTTTCAGCTCTCTATCGCCAGAGTGTTCGGAGCTATCGCGAAAAAAACCCTATGGGGGTGCGGCACCCGTACCCCCCCTCGGCCGGCGAGGGTTAACCTAAAAATATTTGACTTACCTTTGCCTGTACTCTCTCCTAAGGCATTGCCTTCGGCACTGCACTGCTTCGCCACGAGCAATTTGATGTTTATTTCCACATGGTATTGGTGCTTTTTAACTTGCTTGTGCCATGAATAATTATTAGTTATGAAATCAGGAGGTCATAGGATACAGGTATCATGTGATTTGCTTCTTACTTGGGGATTGCACCAAAAGTAAATTGGTGATCGGTCCTAAGTATATAAACACCACCTAACCTAACCTAACCTAACCTAGGTTTGCAGATTGACATTTCGGCAAAGTTATATTTCAACTAATTGACTTTTCGGCAAACTGCCAATTCGGCAGATTGACATTTCGGCAAATTGACATTTCGGCAAATTGACATTTCGGCAAATTGACATTTCGGCAAATTGACATTTCGGCAAATTGACATTTCGACTAATTGACATTTCGACTAATCGACATTTCGGCAAATCGCATTTCGGCAAATTTACATTTCGACTATTAACCCTATTAGTGGCAGGCTCCTGGCTACCCCTATTAGTGGCAGGGGGGGCTGTTTACGACCCCCCCTTGATATCTCGAGATCTAACGGGCCGATTTTCAAAATTCAAACGGCATTCGACTTCGCTCAACGTGATCTACATTTCTAAAAAAAAAAAATAAGAAAATGTCAAAAGGGGGGTTGAGGGGGGTAAAAACGGGCAAATTGCAGATACATTTTAGACTGCTTATCACGGCCAGGTTTCTGAACCAATCTTAACGCAACTTTTGCCGATCGATAAAGAATGAACCAGGAATTCACATGGATCCTAAAAATATGCATTTTCAAAAATCATAGGCGGATACAGATCATTGAGATTGGGGGTACACAAAAAGTATAGCAAATAAGGTTTTTGTTGGTACTGTTTCTAAAAAGGGTGGTAATGGTCTTGTTATGTTACAATTTTCTTATGAGAGAACGACTACAATTGTATTGGTCATGCATAGGCGGTGTCAGGGCACCTATGTTGGGAGGTAAAACATAACCCCCCTTTTTGGACGCCTGGATCCGCCTATTATAGCAAAAACGTGTCAAAAGAGGATGCACAATAACTTTGTATATGTTATCACATGATAAAACTGGTGCATACAGTTATAATACATCAGCATCGTGATCATCGCCCAAATGACTCGCTTCACGAATAGGACCCCCCAATTCCCAGTGCTCTGGAGCCGCCCTTGGTAAAGTTATGAACTTGAAATTTTCAGGGAATGTGCCCAATTTAGTTTTAGGAAAAGTCAGAAAATTTCAGCATCGTAGCTTCAGCGGTTTCGGAGATATTCCCGAAAAACCTGAGGGGTGGATGAAAACAACCCCCCCCTGCCACTAATAGGGTTAAGCATTTCGGCAAATTGGCATTTCGGCAAAAAGGCATGTCGGCAAATGGCATTTCGACTTTTAGCATTTCGACTTTTTGACACGTCGGTAAAAAGCACATCGGCAAAATGACATTCGGCGAAATGCATTCGGCAAAATGACATTCGGTAAATCGCCTTTCGGCAATTTGTCCGGACACCGGTCTACCATCTAGCTGCTGCCTTATAGCGGCGAAAAGTCATCTTCGAAACGAATCTGAAGTGGAAAAAATGATAGTAAGACCACCAGAAAATTATTTACTAATTCAAAAGCAAAAACTGAGAAGTTTTTAGACAGTATAAACAACTTCCTACGAAAGCGTTAACCCTCGCCCGTAAACGGTGTTTTGCCACCTTCGCCCATGCAGGGGGGGGGGTTGGTGCGACCCCCCTGGCGTTTGAAAACGGAGCGTCGTAGAGCTTAGCGGAAAAGACCAACGGATCAGGCGCGGATCCAGGGGGGGGGGGGCGACGGGGGCGGCCGCCCCCCCCCCCCCCGCCATCCGAAAAAGGCGCCCATATCCTGCGGCAGAGAGGGCGCCCCGAGCAGAAGAGCGGCGACACAGCAAAGGTTCAGCAGAAATAGGGCGCCTCCAGCAGAAGTTGGGCTCACCAAGCAGGAGAGTGACGCCCAATTGCCTATTCCCAGCAGATGAGAGTCGCCCCAGCAGCAGATGGGCGCCCCCAGCAGAAGAGGGGGTCTCGTTACAAGAATATAAAATACCTTCTGTTCAAGAGGGGCGCCCCTGGCAGCGGAAGGGCGCCCTTAGCAGGAGACGTGTCCCCCTGAAGAGGAGCGACGCCCCAGCAAAAGGAGAGAGGCGCCCCCATTCCGAGAAGATGGGCGCCCTGACAGCAGCTGGGCGCCCCAGCAAAAAAGGAGCCCCATAATAAGAAAATGGGTGCCACTGGCAGAAGAGGGGCGCCCCAGCAGAAGAGAGGGGTCTCCAGCAGGAGACGGGCGCCCCAAGCAGAAGAGGGGCGCCCCAGCAGAAGAGAGGCGCCACAGCAAAAGGTAATCAGAAATAGGGAGCCTCCAGCAGAGGTTGGGCCCGCCAAACAGGATATGGGCGCCCCATTGACAATATCCGGC